TCTTTCTGGGCATTAGGTGAAGTGCGATAAGCTCTAACTAATACATTGCTCAGTTGCCCAACTGCGACTGCTGTCGTTGAACCTGTTATAACAAAACACAGGTCCTAACACAATTAGAATGAAATTTCGCACATATGATCAACATGAAACCATTATTATCAGAGCTAAAGCTCATATAACCATCCCTCCTTATCCACATCAATCGGCAAAAGTCACACCTACAATACAACCAAAACAGACCTAGAAAAAGCTAACTAGAGTCATAAAAATGGAGTCTTTCCAAAACCCATATCATTAATTGCACAAAAAAAAAACACATAAAATCAGCAACTTTCACCACTTTTAAAAACAAAAAAATAAAAAAATTTCTTACCCAACAACCCTTTTGGCTTTACACCTAAGACTGATAACTAATTACTCCTAAACCCACCAAAGCTTATACCAAACGATTAAATGACCTATTTCTAGATTAGGGCTTCAGCATCCTATGGAAAAAAAAAAAAAACTAAAAACCTTGGCTTGCATGTTATATTTCTGATGTTCATACAATTGATAATAAAAAAAAAAAAGTGTCAAGAACTGACCCGACTGATAAGGCGAATTAAAGCCATTCCCTGTCCCCAAAAGAGGGCTAATCTCTCTTTCGCCAAACTCTTCCCCTCCCCCTTTCTTTTTCTAAATCAACTATCCCTATCCCTAAATATAGAAGTGTAAGTTATTCAGATATTTTTGGAGTTCAGCAGATACTGCAACTCAGGAGAGGAGGGAGGGATGGAGAGAGAATAGAGGGAGCTGGGGAGTGCAACCAGAGATGGATTTTTTCCCTGGATCAGTAATTTTTAATGGGCAAAACTGAAGAGATTTTTTGTACGCATATGAATAATCCTCATAAATCATAATACCGTATAGTATAGTAAACTTTGGTAATATTTGACCTCAGATCTTGGGATTTGGTGAGGAAGTGTCCATGGCTTGTTTAAGTGGACCGGTTCGGTATTAGAACTTTGGGGAGAACGGCCGAAGATGTTTGTGGGCTTTATTCTCCAAAAAACATCAATGCTTAGGCCCGTCAACAAGGCCTTGTAAGTGAGTCAGGCTGTCCACAACCTTGAGGTTAAACTTTAGCCCATTGAACATTAACAACAACCAAGTCCAAATTCAGCCCATTCACTGCATCAGGCTTTGGGATGAGATGAGAAAGGACGGATTCAAAGCATTTTTTAAGTCGAACAAACCCAGTTGAGGAAAGAAACAAAACCGAGAAGTTTTTCTTCTCAAATTCGTAGTGAATTCTTGATTGCATGTTGTTATTTCTATAATTATATATACGCAAAATGAAGAACATTAATCCGAAAACAAATGCATTTTATTTATGTAGAAAGGGCAGGGCCTCAGTGGGCTTAGGCCTGTTAGTTACTTTTTATAAGTTTTGGAGTGGACATGTCCAAATTCAGTTCACGTAAACAATTACTGATTGTTGAAGTCCAAATTCAGCTCATAAGTGATATGAGGTACAAATGTGGCTCACAAGGAAGTAATTACGATTGTTAGGAAGTTTTGTTGTCTTAAGCATAATTTTCACATGTTATTCTATTTATTGTGTGAAGATTAGACAAGTCATTTGGCACTCAGCGAGAGGAGGTAAGTGCATGCACAATCTGCAATCATGACAAACCTCAAGGGAGATTTGTACACAATCCCTTTTTAGTAATAAAGTAACAAGTCATTTTCTTAAAAATTAATAAATCTTGAGAATGAAATCGTTTCTATGCCGACAGGTTAAGAGAAAATCGTTTAAAATGTTTCACATTTCGTCAAATGAATCTTTTCATTATTTACTTTCAAAATGATAACTTCTGTCTCTTACAAAATTGAAACAGTAAAATTTGGTCCCAATCTAAGTTTTTTATCTTTTTTTTTAACCTTGAATCCATTAAGCGAATCAACATAGTCATTTTTTAGGGAAAAAAAAAAGGTAAGATACCATTTATCGTTAAAGCAAATGATCCGATCCATATTCAATTTTTTTCCTCAAAATAAGTGAGATTAGACCCAAATCATATTCATTTTTTTCATTAAAAAAGTGGATCTGATCTTCTTGTAGACAAAAAATGATTGCATATGGATGACGTAGTGATTTCAAGATTAAAAAGTGATCAAAATTTAAGTTGGAACTAAATTTTATTGCTAAAATTTGTAAGGAATACAAAGTTAACAAAGTGAAGGACGATAAAATTCATTTAGCCAAATGTAAGGGACATTTGGAACTATTTCTGTTTCATTCTAGTTGAACTAACACTAGGATTAACAAAGTTATTGCATTAAGACAAATCTTACCATTAACATTTCAAGAAATACTTAAATTCAGAAAATTTAGATGAATCATTCTTTAAGCGTCGCTGATGATACACACTCTACCATGTCATTGCCAACATTTGAAAAGTTAGGGTACCTTCCCTTGTCACCCAACATCTACCTGCCTCACACCGAGAAGCTTCCCTGTCGGCACGCACATGTATTAGTATTACACCGCCTACGTAAAGGTCACCCCCATGCTCATTCATTTTCTTATATCAGGGAAGCAATACACCAGCACAGGAAGCTTCAATATTCATAATTTAGCCAAAAAACAAAGAGAAACTTGTGCCGATGATGATCAGTAGAAGTTGCCGTGTTCCAATGACAAAACATCAACGATTCCCGAGCCGAGATATCTATCTTGATCTTTGTGGGATTTTTAATCCCAGGCTCAATCTGCAATCAACTGAGAGAGGAAATGCTAGTTTCATTACCAAGTGATTAAGGGTTCAAAAATAATTCCTCATGTGTGATACTTTTACCAAATGTTTTAAGGGCCTATTTGGTTGGCATGCTAAAAGTTACAAAATGATAAAAGGAATGCAATCGCGGATATGCAAAGGGAACGTAAGAACAACTTTGATTAGAATTACTATCCAACTATTACCTATTTTTCTTCCTTCACTTGGGCTCCATTGATTTGCTTAATTTCTTGAGTTGTGCACATGTAGTATTATATGCATCTCTCTCCCAAGAGATCCAAATCATTATTGTTCAATGCGACAGAAAAAAAAAACAATTTGATGCTTCAAAGAAAAGGAAGATACTGTAATGTACAACAAACTATCCAATCTAGTAAATTATGCGAATGCAGTAGTCGAAATATGTGCTTAGAAAAGGGAGATATTAAGAAGTTGTAATGTACTACATGAGGTAGTTAGCTATACGCAAAAAACTTTGTATCAAGAAATAATCATTCGTTAGTTGTTTATCATTCTGTATGATAACCTTTTACAAACTAATATTTTGCATTAAGTTCTACATGGCCAACTGCAAAGAACTTAAGGTGCATTTACGTTCGAAAAATTGTACAACATTTTTTTCCCGGTTTTAGAATGTGGAGGGCAATTGCGAAGAAGTACAGTACTACAACCTTGTCTGAGTCTATGACCTGAGGTAGAATCAGAATATTGTTCTCATAATTTTTCATGGTTTTTTCTACCAAATTAAAGCTTTACTCTAGCTTTTGTTTTATTTGATACTTTTTTTTGAATTATTTCTTTTCAATGTAAGTAAAAAATCTCGAATTCAAGATTTCTCACTTATATTCCCTACTCATGTACCATACAGCCTATCCCTCTCCCTAGTTTTATTTGATACTTTGATAGTCATTTGGAATAAATTTCATAAGTCTATATATTTTGCTTTTCAGGGAATAATTTCCCATAAGAATTTCCCACGAAAATGAAAAAGAAAAAGAAAAAGAAAAAGGTTCCCATGAGAATTCACTTACCCAAGTACTTCTTCCCTTATAAAGAAAGCAACAAGGGTAAAATAAAGCAAATTACCGGAAAATAATCACAAAAAGATGTCTAACTCGAGTGGTCACTCCAGAATTAACTAATATTGTCGGACGTAGTAGTAGGTATTAAGATTCTAATTTGACTGCCAGAAAGTACTACTCCGTCCGTCCCACTTTGATAGTCCTGTATTCCTTTTTCATCTGTTCCAAATTGTAATTCACTTTCCAATTGAAAAATGTAATTGTATTTTAAATTTTCTAAAATACCCTTATTCAATGTAAGTAGTTGTTACTATAAACCTACCCCATTTAATGAGAGTTGATTCTTTTTTTACCGTCAATTCAAGTTCCCATAAAGTTGTACCATATTTAATGTGAGGGTATTTTAGAAAAATAACAATCTAAATTTACTTTTCTAACAAAGTTAACTATTTTTTCTTAAATTGTGTGAAAAAAGAAACAGGACTATCAAATGGGACGGAAAGAATAGTAATCAATGAGATGTTTATTGTACCTTCTACATATCAATCTGAAACCTTTTGATAAGCGGATTGGAAAAAAATAAGTATAATTTTCACCTTTCAAATTCAACAGCCAACCATAAAACTCTCTCTCTCTCTCTCTCTCTTGTCGTACCAATCAGAGTTCAGTGCCACATGTACAAAAATTTATCGAGTAATAGTTTCAGAAACAAGGAGAAAATCCACGATTATTATTCCGGGATGGAGTAGGTACATTAATTAAGATTTTAGTACGGTTATTGTTCAATTATTGATTTACACATAATTTGGTGTTAACTAACATTACTTTATTGTAAACTTGAATTTTGTTCATATACACCAACCCAATATATGAATCCAATCACACTAAATGTACCAAAGCCAATTGTACACCTACCCCAAATGCCTACAAGATGACAAACAAAGCTTACTGGTTGCCCTTTGATGTTTTTGTACTATAATGAGGAGCCATTAAATTGATAATGATTCTTTAATTTAGCGGCAAAACCAAGAATCCACTTAGTGGTCTAGCCACCCTGAACAAAAATGTAAAGATAAAAAAGGGGTGGATGGGGGATGAACACACAAGAAAATGAAAGATCGCCTTGCTACAGTTGAAATGGTCCTGCTAATACATTGTCTAACACAAAATGACAGATATACCAGTACAAAATTGCAGCAGCTAGCCAAGGAATTAATCTCGATTGCAATAACCATAAAACCTTGTCATTTGTAAATGTGAAAAGAACTAGGAACTGGAGGACGGTAGCAGCACAGATACACATATATATATTTATATATGTATGGGACAAAATCAACTAATAACAATTAACGAACAAATTAATAGGAAAGAAGAAATCTCATATGCCCAACATAAACATAATTACTTCAAACTAAATCTCTACCATGGTGCTGCTGGATTGTGATGACCCTGCTGGTCATTGAAAGATGAGCCACCAAGTTGATGAAGATCATCCAGACTAAGAAATGTTTCTCTAGCAGTAGGGAAGGCTTTTAGACCCAAGAAATCCCTTGTTAATCCGTCATTAATATTGTTGCCACGGCCACCAAATACGCCACCTTCTTTACCGCTATTACTTCTTCCATTATTCCCCTTCTTGAAGTCAATAACACTTCCTGAAAGTTCTCCCCGAATCCATCGTGATGATGAGAATTTACCATACCCATCAAAGCTCCTCCTCCTAGATGATCATGAGTTGTTAATGGACCAACACTTATTTTGCTTGGTGTGGATGTTCCATGCAACCTGCAGAGGTGATAGCACTAGTTTTGTTCCCAAAAGATGCCATCAGCCCGTGATGATGCATAAGCCCAGATCCAGAACTAGACCCTATTCCCATCTGATCTTCACGTGAGGCCAGACCCAGGCTAGAACCAGCTGTAGAAGTGGCCAATATTATTGATGTCGAACCCATCAAACCAGTACTCACGTGAGCTGCTTGGTGGGGTCTCAGCATCGTTGTTGTCGCCGAGGCAGCGGCCGCCACCTCGTCCGCACCAGCAGCTGATTGACTTGATGCAGGTTTGCTGATTGTAACTCCCATTTGTGCTGCTTTTTGCAGCAATGCAGTTGCAGACATGTGGGGTGATGCCGATGCCGCGGCGGCTTGGAATGAGGAGGAAAGAGTTGGATTAGGGTTAGGGTTGTTGACATTTTCATGATGATGAATCATGGTTTGGTCCAGTCTCGGGTTGCTGAACAAGTCATGACTTGTTGGTGGACCTCCCCTGGATCAGAGAGCCAAGGCGGCAGCTCTGGTGGCCTCAAGTTGCTATTGAAGCTTTGTTGTCGTTGTAACTGTAACTGTAACTGATCTTGTTCTCGCTTGAGAGGAAACACGGGGAGGCCGCCGCCATGGAGAGGATGGTTTTGGAGGTGGAGTTGGACTGAAGATGTAGTACTATTGCCGCCGCCGCCTAGTAGTCCTAGTGGGTGGTTGTTTGTTGTAATTGCCCGGGCACTCTCTTCTGCCAAGGCGTCGCAGAAAGCTCTATGGGTGATGAAACTGTCCCTCCTGACAAACAAAAACAAACAGAAAAAAACAAAAGGAATAAAACATCAAAATGCTGCTGCAGATTAAACAATAGACAGTACGGTACCATATATCTATGAACGATGCTCCCTCTTTTTCATCTGAGTCCGTCTCTGTCGTCAACTTTTTCTGCGCTTTCATCTATGGTGGCAGCATAGATAGTAGTAGAGTACATGATTTTTTAGCAGTAAAGTTTTCTTTGTTTTTAGCTTTTTGCAGTGAAAGAATAAATAAAGTAGTGTTAGGACATACTACAAAACTTGTAATGATACAAATTCACTACACATACGCACATACACACAAAGACAAAGACAAAACATTGCAACAACAACACAAGATTCACAAGGCAAAGATGTTTAAGGTGGTACCACGTACTAATTGCCTAGTAAAACTGAATGTGAGCAAAGTATTTTTTTTTTTTTGGTCAAAAAATGCGAGCAAAGTATTTGACATTGGGTATTTTGGTAGCTTCTTTCTAATGTGCATGGAACATCCATTTGACCCCAGATTCCTAAATTAAAAAAGAAAAAAAGAAGATCGATTACCTTGAGAAAAGGGTTCCACAGTCACATCTATATTCTCTAGTACCACAAATCTTGGAATGAGCTTTCCAATCTGATTGAACAGCGTAACGCTTTGAGCACTTTTCACACTTCCATTTCTTCTCACCATGCTTTCTGGAAAAGTGTTTCTTGACTCCAGTGAGGTCCCCAAGTGCCCGTGAGGGATCATGGTGCACGCATGTAGTTTCCGGGCAAATATACACCTTCTTCCTTATTACTTCTTTGTTGCTTCTTTGCTTTAACTTCCAGGGTAAATTATGTCCCCTCCTGTGCAATTGGAGGTTTTGATCCCTTTGGAACCCTTTGTTACAGATCTCACATATAAACCTGTTTGTTGCCAGAAGGGTTCTTGGAGACAAAGCTATCACTTCTGCCTCAGGGTCTAATTAAGGAATTTCCCGATGGCAATAGAAAATCAGGAGATTAATATCCAAGAAGTTTTTCCTTTAATTTAGTACTGTTTCAGTCTACAAGAGAAGGGATATACTGCAATAGATATATAATGCTGGACTTTGTTACCTGGATTGCCTGGAAGATTTCTCTTTTTCTTTGAAGCTGGTTGAGCACTTTGATTAGTCGGTGATGATGCTAAAGGAGGCAGCTGCTGCTGCTGTGGGTACACAGCACCAATTTCTAGTCTGTTGCCAGAAGAAATGCTAGCATCATTAGATCCAGATGTCAAATTTGACATGCTGTCTTCTACCACCATACCTGCAGCCTTCATCATCTTAGAAAAGCCTCCTTTTGATACAACCTTGATCTCTCCTTAGTTTCCCCTCTAAATATTGGGTATACCCTTGTATAGAGCTATGCAGGTTAATTAGAGGGTTGGTTTATAATCTTGGACTCCGGCCAATTAGATTCATTGATGAGCAACAGATGATATCAAGCTTCTTTTTTTCTCGAATCAGACAACAGAATCCAATACAAACCCTAGTTATAATTCAAGAAGATTCTAAATTCAGCTAGCTAAGTGATGGTGAAAGAGGCACTGATAAATAAAAGCTTGTGTAGGTTGATTTTAGTAGCTTCTTGTAGAATCATATGAAGCTAGCTAGCTCCTATCTATTGTTTGAAAACCCTAGACGACTGATTTGAAAAAGGAAGAAAAGGTTTCTTGTTATAAGGGTGAATCAAAAGAGAGAAAGATTACAATATCAAGTGTTGAGTGAAATCTTACAGTGTCGGCCCTTTTCTTCAAATCATATTTGAATTAACCAAAATTGCCTGATAGCTGTTAGCACCATCAAGATTCAATAAAAAGCCACACAGATGAAAACAAACAAGACCGCACCATATTCCTTTAGCATAAACATAAGAGAAGACTTCCGCTGTATGTGTTTTGCTTTCTCAGTATATGTATGTGTCTTGAGTGTGTGAGAGAGAGGAAGATAAAGATGGAGAATGAGAGAGAGAGAGAGAGAGAGAGAGAGAGAGAGATGTGGATGAGAAGGTATCTCTACTAAGTCCTCCACCCCATGAAAAACCATACCTCAGGCCAACAAGCTTATTCTGACGTTGTCCTTTGTCTTTTTCGTTGTTCCCTTCCCAATTGTAAAAAACTACATGTACTTTGCAGCCTCTTCCTTCACTGTTTTTACTTGATCAAAATTATTCCCTTTCAAAAGAAAATGATGATTAAAATACCGTGCAAGTTTAAATAATTTTCATTAACCAAGTTTGCTAATTGATTCCAAAAGTGTACTAATTAATCAAGAAAGGAAACCGCAATACTCAATCATGCATGGCAAAATGGTTAAAGTGGAGAATCATGCATGCATGGATGTTAGAATGCAAATGTTGTTGGAGGTAAACAAAGCTCAATTTATGGGGACTGTCTTGCAGCTTAATAGTCACTTCACTTTCTTTCTTTCTTGCTTGCATCCACGCACCTACTGCCTACATATTCACATGATTGGTTTGGTGATTATATTCGAAACAATCATGCATGCTCAAGAAAAAAGTTGTTTCAATTATTCTTACCGTCCTGTGATCCTTAGTTTGAATAAACAATACTACTGGTACTTGAGATCATTAAATTTTATAAAAGGTAGAATAGTGATTTCAGATATGCAATGAATAAGGTTCCATCAACTATCACTTTAATACTTCGAAAAACCTGACAAATTCACGGCTTCTGAACTTAAAAAAGTGGAAAACAGAATACAGGACTTGGTCCCCCATGCTGCCATATCCATCATCACTTGTTACTGTGCATTACATAATCGAGACGCTAGCCCCGTCAATTTAACTTGAGTGTTTATAGAAGCATGTTTTGAATTAATACGTGTGAGTGATCATCGGAAGAGCTAATGAATCGGAGTGGAACCTAAGTATCTGTCATGAAATGTAGAAAAATAAAGTGATTAATACATGTTGTACAAATCCTGGACGTTTTGTATCTTATTAAGAAAATTTCTTCAGTTCGTCCTACTTAATTCTGATCAATATATAATAGTGTCAACAAAATTAACGAAATAAAAGGACACGCGTACGGCGCATATCCAAATCACTCTACTAATCATCAATTCACAATCCCTATTAGTCATGCAAAAAAGGTGTGCTCTACGCTAAAACAAATAATACTATCAATTGGATTTAAGTGGGATGCATCTAAGAGGCTAAGAGATAAAGTAGTTAAAATTGAAGTTTACAGTACAAAGTGAAAAGAGAAAACAAGTTTGGAGGTGCAAAGTGAAATTAGTCCTTAAAAATGTCTTTGCATTTTTGCTTTTCCTAATTTCAATGCTTCAAGAAAAAAGTCCCTTTCTTACCTGACTTGATAGATGAAGAGCACTGGCGAGCCACGTTGTTTTCCCTTCTCGTTTTACAAATTTAAAGTGGCTGTTAAAATTGGAATGTGTAACCACCTGTCTATGACTATGACATGTATGTTTATCAGCCCTTGATTTTCTAAAAATGGCGGATATTCTCCCTCTTGTGCTAACATGCAATCGAGTGACAGTCCTCTAATGAGTCTAAAATGTGAGGAAATGATGTTAGCATTTTCATACCTAATGGAGTTGAATGCCCTTTCACAACCATATATACCTCACTCCATCGAAGAATAGACAATTTTTTGTTATTTCAGCTAAGGAAATTAATTGTGTCACGAGAAGATGGTAAGAATGTGGGACATTTAATTAACCACCACTTTCTAATGATGCAACTATTTACATAGGAGAAGTTCTAGTTTTGTAGTTTTGTTTTACGAGAGGGTTATTGGAATACCTTTTCTTTTTTTTTCTTTGGCTAATACAGGCGTACGAATTCAATTGAATAATTCTAGTTGCCAATAATAGAAGCATATTCTTCAAAGGGATACTGATGACTGGTGGAGAAAATAGAGAAAGCTGATCTTGGGCAGCAGGCACATCACTAAGCGATTACCACAAATGCGCATCCACCTGCATTTCTTGCATGAAGAAAAATAAAGGAAGATGCTGTTTAGTATGTCCTCATTTGCTTCCAAAACATTGTTATTAACACGTTATCCACAATTTTGAAGTGCTTCAATCTTTGCCAAGTAATATTGCAGGGTCAGATTCTCAAATTTTTCTGCAGATAAACCATCGTTTTCGGTCTATTTTCCTTTTTTGTTTGTCCTTGTTTTCCGTCAAGGGAGTTTTAACTCTTCGTTTCATGAGTTTTATTTATAACTTTATCCCGGCATTGAAAAATAAATTAGCCAGTGAAAAATAAGCAGAGTACCTTATAAAAATTGGATCCTACGTACTTTAGTTCATGTTCCTATGAGATTGGAAGCAAACAGGGATTAAGTAATTGTAGATCACTTGTAAGCGAAATTCATAATATCACGACTCCTAGCTGTTAATTAAAAAGGAATTCATGATCTTTTGAAACTTCGTCTACTTTTATTGAAATTCTACACACACAATAATTACTTAGTTATACCAGTGACCATATATCAATTGCAAATGGTCTCCAATGGAAAAAGAGCTTGAAAGATAGTCAATTGGAATCTGACTTTCCTATGTGCCATGATAACTCGGGAAGAAACTTGTTTGGATTGTAGTTTCCGCAGAAAATTTTTTACACTTTTCCTGAATATCATTTTTCAACCACTTTTTTATTTCACATATATTAAATCTCTACAATATATTTCTCTACAATGACTGTAAAAGTATCAATCCACATAGGCTCTAACTTGTGTGTGGAAAATAACATATTGAAGCCATAAGAGATTCATGTAGTTGTCTCCTTTTTCTCATAAATTGGCTATATTATTTACGAGTTTCTTGAACCAAGCACAGACCTAAATCTAAGCGATCAAGAAACATCTTCTTTTCAGATTTTACGCAGAGGAAAATTAAGTTATGACGGTGACATTTATATGAAGTTATATTGCCAAGATATTTAGCTGGCCCCTCTATAATAGGAAAAAGAACCACAAAATAATTCTATACTCAAAAGCAGATGACTAGAAAACAAACAACGTGACTCGCTATGGAGCGACATTGTCTTTCTGTTTATTCACGTTATGAAACAATTATTATTCTTCTTGCAATAGTATTAACTATATGGATTAGTTTGTTTTCACTTGATATATATATATATATATGCTATAAAAACGTCAATATTTTATGTAAACTCTGCAGCATACAGATAGAGGGTCATGCATGCACGTTCATGTTTCATTCCAAATTCCCTCTGCAGACAGCATGTCAAGGTGCCACCAGTCTCTCTCCTCTACATCAATCTGTACTCTGTAGCAATTTTTAGCTGTTTGTTTGAATATGAGTATGATAAAATAAGAATACTGTTTGACCTATTTCTCCTCAAATCCTGTTGTTGACATTTCGGAAGAACCGCTATTGACTCGGGTTTTTTTTTTTTTTTTTTTATCACTATATTAGAGAATGAAATTTGTTAGAATGTAGTTCCACTTTAACTATTTTAGAGACCTGACAATGAAGTAATTCACTAATAAAAGGCAGACAAGGTTGTCACCAACACAAAAAAAGTCTGAATGAAAGATTGAGTAAACATCACGTAATTTTTTTTCTTCTTTCGGTAATGAAAAATCAGTACTACGTATTAGAGCATATACTCTCAAAATCATGAAAAGTCGCTGATAAAGTTTTCACAAATCGTTCATTAATACAACATTGATATCGACACCACAATTTGAACGTACGATCTTTTATGAACAAATAGTGTATTATCACTTATTACCAACTCACCTAACTTCTCTTGCTGCCTTATATATGAGTCTACGCAATGTCAACTATAGAACTGATACATACAAGTCTGCATAAAATAATACCTAAATATTACATCTACATATTATATAAGAAAGAAATGAACTTTAGTACTTTGCTTGCTTGCAAGTCACGTGGTTTCCTAATAGTTTGACAAATGCTTGTTAATATTTCTTCTACATTGCTATTCTTGCCATTGCACTTTTTTTTGGGCCTTTTGTTCATGCAAAATCAAACAAATTTGGCTCTTATGTTTATGGGTGTTCTTCGGTCGATAATCGAAAATTCGATAAATTTTTTTTTTGATAATTTGGGAATTGATTTTTTAAGACCAATATCCAATTAGCGTCCAAACCTTAGTTTGATCAATTGGATCGGAGAATCAATAGCGAGTTAAAATATTTTAATTTTCTCTTAAAAAATTGTTATAACAAAATAATATCCCATATGTTTTTCAACAAAATTAATCGACTTACTCAAACAAAACATGATATGCAAAAAAAGGGTTCATAATCCTCAGTTCTAACTCATACCTCAATTCTTAAAAATATTGAAATAAATAAGAATTTCAAACTTAATTGTTAAGCTAAACTCCAATGTATCAACTTCCATTACAAATTTATCTCCAAGTATAGTTATGGTTAGTTTAACTAATCAGTAATTACTAATTAGTATTTAGTGATAGGATTAAGATTTACTCTTGTATTTAGTAATATACATAAGTGGGCAAATGTTCTACTTTTTGTCTTCTATTGATTTTATGCGAAAATGGTTTCCACTTAATTGTTCTTGAAATTTTAAGTAGGCTAGCTAAGCACAGCCTGAAGTCTGCTAGTCCTTGTTACAAATAGTGTATGTAGCTTGCGACGGCTTATAATCCATTTAAAAAGTTATACAGTGTTCAACAATGGTTATCCAGCCTTTCCTTGTAAATTAACTTTTAATGATGATGAAGCCTTCCATGGACTATTTTGATCTTCCTTCCTGTATGAATATTCAGCTCACCTACTCACCACAGGGGCGAAGGTAGTTCAACTGTTCAAGCTTCACTTGTCTACCTGGTTGATAATTTATTTAATATATATAAAGTAAAAATGTAATGAAAATGTGTGTACAAAAAAGGTAAAGTTTTTATGTGAAAAATCACAAATCCAGACAAGGCTGGTCGCCTGAATATTAGCCCAATTAACAAAGGCTGAATTGAGCCCGGGTAGGCTTCCCCAAAAACGGCAGTGGCCGTTCATGTTTCGGA